GAGAGAGACGGAACACAAGCAGGGGGAGTGGGAGAGGGAGAAGCAGGCTTCCCGCAGAGCAGGGAGCCCGATGTGGGACTCGATCCCAGGACCCTGGGATCATGACCTGAGCTGAAGGCAGTCGCTTAACCAACTGAGCCACCCAGGCGCCCCAGTTTGTGGTTATTCTATTAATTACTGAGGCTGTGAGAAAAGGAACATAAATAGGTAAGGATGTTTCCTTTGAAACAACTTCCCTTCCTTTTTCCCTACTGTGGCAATCAATAGGGCCTCACCCCTGAGCCCTGATGTCAGAAGTGCAGGGAACCCAAATAATTACGCATGTTATCTGTACATGGAGATGTGTTGTGATGATCAGATCCGTGGATGTTTCTGGGACTGCCTCATTACACATATTCTTATGGATTTGCCCCATAAGTTAGTGAGATGCTTTAGAAATTTCATTACTCTGACAACTAAACTATATTTCCAAACTATATTTCCTTTTCCTGAAAGGATCACAAAAATCCTCTGACCGTGTGCCCCAGAATTTTGGTTTGGAAAATCACACTGCATCTCCTGAGTTCTTAAACCTTTTGCATCTGGACAAAATGAAAAACTCTTCTACTAGAATGGATATGAAAAATGTCCAGTTTTCTAATAGTAGAAGCCTACACGTGTTATTTTATGAGCTTCTGTCTCCTGCAGAGAACATAAGATTAAGTCCTTTTAGATTAGTAGTAATAGAGCTTTAGTATCTGTTCCTTCCTGTGTCAAAGTGTTCACCGTTTAGAATTATTTTGCAGGAGCTGAAGGAATGTGTATCTTTACCACTTAGAAGCACCAGCAATTAAGGGAAATTATTTCAAATTAAAAATTGTAATTTCTATGCAGTGGAATCTGAAATGTGAATCTGTAAAAACCTTTTCTGGGACATTCATATATGAATTTTTGAGGTGATTTCTCCTTAAAAATTGATTAATATCATTGGGGTCTCTTGTTAGAAGATTTAATTTATTTTTAATGCTTGATAGCTATATGGCAATTGTATTTTTATGTGATATGCAAATACATATGGGAAAGTTCTAATTTAAAAAGGATACCATTGACAACATTGTTTTTTGTCCGTTTTGTTTTGTTTTGTTTTATGGAAAAACAATTCCCAAGGTCAAAACACTCAACTTACAAACTTCTACAATCAGACTTGTTGGTATGTGGAAGTTAACTTTATATTTTAAAAAGTGGACTTATTAAAACATGTTTATAGAATTGTGAGATTGATTTTTCATGTGTGATTTATAAAACCTTTTCTTACTACTTTACAGTCACCTCTCCTATATATAGAGTCTCATTTCATCCTCAATAAAAAATTTAATATCACTTGTTTCTTTAATGTCCTCCAACCACTCAGACAAAATGGCTGAAGTCGTTGCTTATCAATTTCTTATAAATTCATGGATTCTTACATCCTCACGGTGTTCTGTCATGTGCTTCATGCTCCTCTTGTCTGTAATTTTCTTTACCCTCTTAGCTTGTTCTCTTGCTGTCAAAATTTTTATTTTGTGTTAGTAAATCTATATTCAGGTTTCTTTATCCACTCCTTTTAAAACAAGGCTTTCTTGATTCTTTCTGAGTGACTGTCATGCCCACTCACTTTAGACCCTAGATACTTAGACTCTTGCTTTAAAATATCATTCAGGAAACAGGAGCTTGGTTCTCATAGGTGCCCTCATCTCAGGCTTGGCTAATGACAAAGACAGGTATGGCTTTGGGGAACCAAATGCTAACCTGGACATTGGCTTTCCATCTGCTCAGCATAGGAGGAGGAAACTTAGTGAAGGAACCTGGATGGAACAATTAGGGAGCCTCTGAATTTCAGGGGAGAGCAAGTGGATGAAAAAAATTGTCCCGACTTAGAAGGTAAGAGAATCTCTCTGGTTTTTGATAAAGCAACAACTGCTAAGAGCCTTTTCTAGGTATTGCTCCATGCTGGCTGTAATGAGCTAAAAGGTTTCTCCAGTCTTTATGACTAGGTGTTCTCCTGAATTTCTGGAACACTCTCCCACAATCCATAAGCCACTTCTCCCCTTTTTGATCTATTCCTTTTTTTTTTTTTAAAGGTTTTATTTATTTATTTGAGACAGAATGAGAGAGAGAGAGAGCACATGAGAGGGGGGAGGGTCAGAGGGAGAAGCAGGCTCCCTGCCGAGCAGGGAGCCCGATGCGGGACTCGATCCAGGGACTCCAGGATCATGACCTGAGCCAAAGGCAGTCGCTTAACCAACTGAGCCACCCAGGCGCCCTTTGATCTATTCCTTACCTTGTTGGTGTTTGACTTTGATGTGACTTTGACCAACTGTCCGGGAACCTCCATTTGTTTTTAACCCCTTGTGTCTGGAATTGGTTCTGTGTCACCGTCACACAAGGCTGCCTGCTCTGGTAGGGAACACCAGAGGTTGCTCTTTTCCTATTTTCCCCATGCCCCTTCCTGCTTCCTTGGAACTCCCTAATAGTTTTAAGTAGCAGTGATTTCGTATAAAAGCATTCCTCATGACATAGCCATTAGCTGGAACAAGGGGTTCTGTGGATAAAATATAATACTAGCAATTTCTCCTGAATTCATAGAAAAAAAATCAGGTTAGTGGAGAGAATTTTCAGTTTTTCTCTTGTCAGTATTAAAATCTTTGTGCCTCTTTATGCTATTCTGGGTATAGTTTAGTATGAAGTGGCTTTGGACATAGCACAAAATAATATATCCTCAGTTATTTTAAGTATGCTATATTGTTTCATTCTGTTCTTCAAAACATATCTTGACTTTTGAGGGTTCCACCCCAAGTATAGCTTCTTGAGTCTATTGAGACTAATCTGGATATGTTTTCTGATGGCCTCAATGTGTCTGTTTAGACCCTTTAGGATAGGATCACCAATGCAGCTGGTTATAAACATCCTTCCACCAGTTTCCATTTTCAAGGACACTGGTTCCTGTCCCAAGGGTGTGTGTGTGTTTTTTTGGGGGGGTGGGGGGCGGGTGCTGCCTCTTGGTTCACTTCTGGCCAATTTGGTCTGGATTTTCCCAGGACTCTTTAGACTTAGGCCCAGAGCTCTTCCTTTACTGTGAGTGACCCAATGAGCATTGTCTCCAAGACTCTTTCCTATAGGCTTATCTTACTCTCTCAAGCTTTAAGTAGCCCTTCTTGGAGTCCTCATAAGGGATATCCAGTACATTTTAGGTTTTCCATCCCAGGTGAGAGGACTTCTGAGATTGTGGTAAGTGGGGGAGATCTGAGAGATGGCATCTTTAGGAGATGTTCAATAGAAAACCTGGCAGGCCTTCCAAATGAGTTGTCAGTCTAAGGTGCTTAGGCAGACAGGAAGTGTTTGGGTACAAAGGCAAATGAGATGATTCAGAGTTGGGCTGAAGGTAAGCTTTCCTCATTGGTATCCAAATGTGTACAAAGGAGCTCCTGTCAGTCCTTATCAGGCCACAGGCCTTGGAGGTCAGGTCTCCTCTTCATCTTTTCATCAGAAAGATTCCACTCTCATTGCTTTTATATGTTGGAGTGCCATGTAAGAGTTCATTTAAAGAAACTTGCTAAAGAAAGTTTGTTACTAGCTGGACCAAAGCAGTTTTCTGAAGCAGTGAAAGGTTTGCTATAATGACATTATGTAGGTTTTCTGAGACCCTGTGCAGGAATATCCAGCTAGCTGTGAAGATATTGATTTGCTATAGACAAAAAGTAACCCAAACTTAGAATAGCTCTATCATATTTATAGAAGTCAAACAAGAAGCTCCCCAAACATAAAATCATCTCTACAGTGGTCTATAATCAAATGTTTATGTAATTATATAGAACTGAATTTTATTGCACTTACATTCTGCTTTTTATTTTTATATTTGAATATTTGGATGCAACATACTGTGTTCATTTCTTATTGCTCAACTGATTGTCCTAACAGGATGAAAGCAAACTTGCTGAACAGATGTGCCTGAGCCTTGCTGCCGTGTATTGAGTGTGGCTTGCATATGCTTCTTTAAATAATTTCACAAGAATGGACACATGAATCCACTCTGAATTTAAAAAAAAAAAAAAAAGAGAAAGAAAAAGAAAAAAGCCTAGTGCAAAGTATTGCCTTCTAAATTAATGACTCATTTATAGAAATTTCAAATAACATATATGCCATAAAGGCAGAAGCAAATAATAGCCAAGCAGCATAAGTGAACAATTTGGAGGTCTCTAAATCTGGTATATAAATCATTTGACTGTAAGAGTTTTTATTCCATTCAAAAAAAATAACAATAAAGGGAAAACGGACATTTGAATAAAAGCTTACAGAACTCTTAAAGTACCTCCATGGATCTCAGAGTTCTACAGAACACAAATCGAAGACCACAGATTTAATACCTCTCTGAATAGGGACTGCAATGCCTTGTTCTTTTATGATGTTTTACATTCCTCTCCTTTAGGACATTACCTTGTACTTATTTTATAAAAATAAATATGATCCAGTTTCTTAACATACCTTTCTCAGAAACGAACAGATAAAAGAGCAAAACATAAAGCTGTATCAGATTGAAAACAATTAACTAGCTAAACTAGTATGTATGTAATTCTGCATATAACAGGGTATACAAATCTTTTTAAAACGTCATGGAACATTCATAAAACTTAACAAATCTATATGGGGATTAACATAAGAATAAAAAAAAAACTTAAAAAAAAACTTAACAAATCTGATATTTGTTATTATGCAGATCACATTTCCTGACCAAAATGCAATAAAATTAGAAATCAACAGCAATAGCTAAACAGCCAACTGTGATCAGACAGGTTGATTTAGAAATTGGCTGGATGGTTGCAAGTATGTTGTAGTTCCTCAGTCCTTTTGCATAAGTAAATCCAAGGCCCACCCATTTCTGTAAACAGCTGCTGACAGAAATGCAAACAGTCCATTTCAAGACTGCATATTGAATGGGTGAAACAAGGAAAGACTTCCTGAGAATCAGTAAGAAGTACATCTGATTAGACCTTGTCCATTAGGTGAGTTTCTTTTCTTTCCTTTTGATTCAGCTAGTAAAGAACACGATACTATTTAGGGAGCAGTTCAACACATGTTATAAATACATTGCTGAGAGAGTAGACCCGAGGGGGACCAAAAAGACCTATAGCCAGCTGTCTGTACCTTATTGACACCTAATGGGCGGGGCTAAGAATCCTAGTGTCACTGTTTTAGTGGTGCTAAAGCATTGGGAAATAGGTTGATATTCTGAGCCTATTTCAATGTGTTTTTTTTTTTTGTTTTTTTGTTTTTTTTGTTTAGTTCTTCTATTTCTGGGATGCCAGGGTGGCTCAGTCGGTTAAGCGTCTGCCTTTGGCTTGGGTCATGATCCCAGGGTCCTGGGCTTGAGTCCCGCATCAGGCTCCCTGCTCAGTGGAGAGCCTGCTTCTCTGCCTGCTGCTTCCCCTGCTGTGTGTGTGCTCTCTCTCTGACAAATAAATAAAATCTCTTAAAAATTCTTATATTTTAAAAGTTTCTTTAAAAATTGTGGTATAATACAATGTAGTACTAATACGGTGTATCACTTTCAGTTATACAACATGATTCAGTATTTGCATATATTGCAAAATGATCACCACAATAAGTCATGTTAACATCTGTCACCGTATATACAGAATTTTTTGTGTGATGAGAACTTTTAAGATTTATTCTCTTAGCAAGTTTCAAATATGTGTTAAGAGCCATAGTCACCATGCTGTATATTACATTCCTGTAATTATTTATTTCATAACTAGAAGTTTATACCTTTTGACTCCCTTCACCCATTTTGGCCACCCCCCCCATCCCCTGCCTCTGGCAATCACCAATCTGTACCATGAGCTTGTTTTTTTTTTTTTTATTCCACATATAAGTGAGATCATACAGTATTTGTTTTTCCCTGTCTGACTTATTTCACTTAGCATAATATCCTGAAGGCCCATTCATGCTGTCACAAATGGCAAGATTTCCTTTTTTATGGCTGAGTAGTATTCCTGTGTGTGTGTGTGTGTGTGTGTGTGTGTGTATCCATCCCATTTTCTTTATCATTCATCTGTTGGTGGATATTTAGGTTGTTTTCTTAACTGTTGTAAATAATGCTGCAATGCACATGGGGTACATATATTTTTGAGTTTTTTTTTCCATTTTCTTTTGACAAATAACAGAAGTGGAATTACTGGGTTATATGGTTGTTCTATTTTTAATTTTTTGAGGAAACTGCATCCTGTTTTACACAGTGGTTGTGCCAATTTACATTCCTACTAATAATGTAGGAAGGCTTCCTTTTCTCCACATCTTCATCAGCTTATCTCTTGTCTTTTTGATAATAGCCATTCTAGCAGGTATGAGGTGATACCTCATTGTGGTTTTGATTAGCATTTCCTTGATGATAAGTGATGTTGGGTGTCTTTTCATGTGTCTGTTGGCTCTCTGTAAGTCTTCTTTGGAAAAATGTCTGTTCAGGTCCCCTCCCCATTTGTAAATCAGATTTTTTGTTTTTGTTTTTTTTTGGTGTTGAGTTGTATGACTTCTTTATATATTTTGGATGTTAACCCTTTATCAGGTATATGATTTGCAAATATTTTCTCCCAGTTAGTAGGTTGCCTTTTCATTTTGTTGATGGTGTCCTTCACTGAGCAGAAGTATTTCAGTGTTTTTAAAAGAACCAAGTTGCAACGGGGCACCTGGGTGGCTCAGTTGGTTAAGCATCCCACTCTTGATTTTGCTTCCGATCATGATCTCAGGGTCCTAGGATTGAGCTCAGCAGGGAGCCTGCTTGTCCCTCTCCCTCTGCTCCTCACTCTGCTCGTGCATTCTCTGTCTCTCTCTCAAAGGTTGTTATATGGTAGAAATATTTACAGATGCTTTTCTTCTTCTTTTATGCTTGAACTCAAGAGCTTGAGATCAAGACCTGAGCTGAGATCAAGAGTCAGAAACTTAACTGACTGAGCCACCCAGGCACCCCTACAGATCTTTTAAAGTCAAGACCAACTTGTACCAGTATATGCTGCCTGTTCATTAACATGGGAAAACCGAAACTAGCACAGTATTGAGAAACATTTGTGTTCCTGAAATGGCTCTATTCCCAGGAATAGATGGGAGACAGCTCTTGAGCTTATTGGAAAAGTAGGAGTCCTTGACGACACAGGAGCTCTTGAGCTTATTGAGGAGGGTCCAATACCTTGAAGTTAACATGGCAGCTCACTGTGTTGCCAAAACATGTGTGTTCATTGACCGGCATTGCCAGTGAAAGGTCAGGTGCTGCGCACACAAACTGGAGTTTGGGAAAAGTACCTGGAGATAAGAGACAAGAAAGCCAGAAAGGGGAAAAGGGGAGTAGAGAGGTCATGGCACAAGGGTAATTATTAGAAACAAGGCTGTTACCCAACATGGGGAGAGTGTAGGGAGGACGTTAGACTGTGGAAAAGAGAGCCCGCTGTGAGGTGATGGAATCCTGTGTGCATTAGTAAAGCCACCATGTGCCTTGGGAGCATATTCCTGGGAGCTGAGAAGAGAGCTGTGCTGTGATGTGGCCAACGAGGGTGAGGGTGTGGGGCAGGCAGGACAAGGGAGAAGTGGAACCATATCTGGCACATCTTAGTAGCCATTGTAAGCTGCCATTTGTCTGCATATCAAACCAGTGGTTCAGTTTAGCCTTTGGAGTAGGGCATATGGGATGGGAGCTCTCAACGTCCACAGTTCCTGCAGGGGTGCAGGTATAGCATCTTTCATCACAGAAAAGTTAAAGTGTGGTTTCTGTCCTTTGTTGAAGAAATCAGTGAAATGATTTCAGTATACTGTAAAAAAAAAATCATACTTATAAAGCACAGTGAAAATAATATCCTAGTGTGCAAATCATTGGGTCTGGAAAAGCAGGGTGGTGTTTGTATTCTGGACACACTTTTTCTATAGGGTGAATAAATACAGAGTGCTCACATTCTCATTTTTTAAAAAAGGCAATGATAAAGGAGCTCCTCTCTTCCCTAGCTATTTTCAACTCAGGGATATTTATCTAATTGATTTTATTATTTGGACAGTGATCCTCAAAGATCTTGCTTGTAATTCCTAAGTTTTTTTTTTCCATCCTAAAATTTTTCTTGGGATAAAAGAAGCATCATCGCTGCTTCACCAAGTGAAGTGGTTTGCTTCTTGATTTGGTGTGTTTCTCCTGACAGATTAACACCTTTCCTGGGTGGCAGCACACACAACAAAAAAACTTGAAGCAGGTGAGATGCAAGAGAGAGCCAGGCTGTGCGGGCCAAAGGTCTTACCACACATGTGCCACGCTGGGGGAGGAGAAGGCAGAATTCCGGCTCCATTTCTGAGTGAAAAATGGAAAGGGGTTGTGTGTTTTGCAACCTTGGAAATGCACTTTCCAATATCAAGTCCTTCGAGGGCTACTCAATTTGTCATGTTACAGTCCTGGCTGGGGTAGCAGCACTGTCACTTCGAGTATTTCTGCCTTTGAGTCCCAGGCCCCAGACTTTGGTGGCACTCTGACAGAGCCAGATGCTACCCTTTGGCTTGTTAAGAGCAGAATTCCCTCTGTCAACCAGTTGGACTCACAGCTCTCCCACCTTCCAGGTAGATTAAGTCACTCCTCTGTTTCCATTTTTGGAAAGTATTTTCACTACATTCTTTTTTTTTTTTTTAAAGATTTTATGTATTTATTTGAGAGAGAGAATGAGAGAGAGAGCAC